TTCCCCCCCCCCCCCCCCATACACACACACAAACACACATGTCCAGACAAACTGTATCCTTCAAAACTTTTTTGATAATGCAAATGACTGTCCCAAGGCTGTATACGCGCAAACAAAAATTATAAACTAATCTTCGTCACAGGTCCTAAACCTGTATGAGAGGGGTTAAATAAGTCTTTAATCTAGGTATGAAGGAATCATGGTGAGTAATGAAATTTTGCCAGTCTTTAACTCTATCCGTACGTAGTGTTTTAATATCGTATCCATACGATGTGGGGAACTCTGTGCCACTACTTTCCAGAGAGGAAATTTACTCATTAATCCGATCCATACACTTGGCACAGCAGTCTGTCAAAACGAATTTTTGAGAAATATTGAAAGTTTCAAAGAGATCTTCGCTCTAGAAGTATTCTAAAATGTGAAGAATACAACCCCAGGGGTACAAAATGACCCCAGGGCATACGGATAGAGTTAAACAATTTCTTTGAAACACTCTATGCAAATTTTTGGGAAAATCCAACAATAATTTAAAGGCACTAGTCAGCGTGTTCAATGAAACCATGCACAAAAACCTTTGTTTTTCTTTGCTGAAGCTGTGCCAAGGAGCCCGTTGAATATTGCTCAGTTATCAAGTTTTTACACATGCAAGGAAAATCCCCTTTGGACATTTTTCAGGAAATAGTCCAAGTTTATAGTGACAAATGTCCTCGGTATAATACTGTGACATACCAGGTAAAAAAATTTAAATCTCCTTCATGTTGGTGATGGATGAAGATCATGAAGGGCGCCCATCCTTTGTGGAAACTGAAGAGAATGTATCCATAGTAAAGAAACTGATTCTACAAGAACGACATATAACTCCTAAACATCTCTCAAGTGAAACAAGAATCAGTGTAGGGTCAATTGAGGTGATTCTCCATGACCATCTTAATATGAATAAGGTGTCTGCATGGTCGGTACCCCACCTTTTGACAAGTGAACAAAAGAAGCAGAGGGTTGAGTCTTGCAAAACTCTCCTTCGGATTGAGTCTGATGACACAAATTTCTTTAAAAACATGGTGACTATGGATGAAACATGGATTTATCATTTTGATCCACAACAAAAAATGTCCTCCATGCAATGGAAAACCCCTTCTTCTCCAACACCAAAGAGGGCAAAGGTAACACCGTCAAGTGGAAAGGTCGTGCTGTCATTTTTCTGGGATTGTGAAGGTATCATCATGACTGATTACCTGGAAAATGGACAAATGGTCACCGGAGACTACTACTCAGGTTTGCAGATAAAATTGCGGTCCAAACTGATGAGAAAAACGCATGGAAAACTCTGCAATGAGGTCCTCCTACTGCCTCATAACACCCGTGTGCACAGGCACAACAAGCAGTCCAGACAGCAGAACAGTCATTGTAGCATTGAAATCCTGCCACACCAAGCTTATTCACCAGACCTAGCCACCTCAGAAATGTTTCTGTTTCCTAATCTTAAAAAATCTCTGAAAGGATGTCGTTTCCATGACAACAAGGATGCCATTGAACTTGCTGGTTTATTTTTAATTTTTAAAAATTTTTTTAAAAACAATTTTTTAAAAAACTTTATTATCCCAGAGGGAAATTCCAGTTGCACAAGATTCTTGGCAGGTCGCTGTGGTTGCTTACTGCACGTGCACAAAGGGAAGTTATTTCCAAGCTTGCTAGCTGATTACGTATTCTAACAGTGCATTGACCTTCAGTTGTAAGGCTGTCAATGCTGTCAACGCATTTTGGGAAGATGTGTATATTTGTTCTACACACACAGCAGTGTGTTGTGCGTGGAGCATCAGTGCTAAGCAAAGCACGGAGCTACTCAGCCTCTCTGAGGGGATGGGTGGGGGTAGTCGCACAGTGCCGGCATGGTGTCTGGTAAGGGGGGATTTCATGTGGTGGGTCACCACCATTGCCTGCATCTCCGCAAATGGGCGTACCTTCCACCTCTCCTCATCTTTCCCTACAAGAGAGATCCACCCTACAACGCTCTTGAGGGCTTTGAGCAAGCGTTCTTCAACAAGAATGACAATGGATGGATAACTGAGGGTGTTTTCCTCAGTTTTCTAAGGGATATTTTCATCCCTCACCTAGAGAGAGAGGGCACGAAGAGGCCTGTCATTTTGTTTGTCAATGGCCACTCCAGACCTCTGCAACAAGAACGGGGAAATATAATATCACCTCAAAGCCCACACCAGCCACCTGACATAGCCTCTGGACCAGGCGTTCTTTGGGGCCATCAAACCAGCATGGCAAGAGGAGGTGAGGAAGTTCATGACTGAGGACGTTTGCCGGCGTCCTGAAGAAGGCCTGGACAACAGTAGCTTGGCCGGAAACAGCCATGAGGGGATTCACCAAGTCAGGGCTGTTTCCCCTCTGCTCCATCCACCTCTTCTGCCTCTGTTCCATCCACCTCTTCTGCCTCTGCTCCATCCACCTCTTCTGCCTCTGCATCACCCACCTCTTCTGTCTCTGCCCCACCTCTTCTGCCTCTGCCCCACCCACCTCTTCTGCCTCTGAGACATCCACGATATCACAAACTCGCCATCACCAACTCAGGGAAATATTCTCCATGAACTTTAAGCTTGGGGAGAAGGTGGACCTGTACCTCAAGAGGTATGACTCAAGATCGACCCCGTCTACATAAAACGTGTCATCCTCCAGCAGGAATGAGCATATCCACTAATAGTTGCGCACACCCGTCATCACTTTGCCACACAAATGCCACTGCTGAGGGAGGAGGGCAAACAAAGCAAGCATAGCAGAAGAAGTGTTCTTCTCATCAGTCACTAAGGGGGTACCTCCCCTCTCACCAAGGACTGGCAAGGTGACTTTATATGTTTAGGGTAGCGCGGACTACCGTTTCTACTCTAGATGACAGATTAACTGCATAGATAAAGGGATGAATGGTAGGTATACATATAGATGGGCAGGCATACTCAAACCACATTAGAGACAGAGCCCCAAGGAAAATTCTAAAAAAACAATCACTCTCATGTAGACCTCCCCCTACATCTTGGTTAGCCTATCTACTGCCAATATCCTGCAATAGAAAACAATGCCCTAAAACATCCTGTAAGAATGAAATGCTTATTAGCCTACTTGCATGAAGTGAATTTTTTATTTGCCAAGAAGATCATGGCAACTTACTAATCCAGTGTACAACTTTTGGAATAAGGCTTAAATCATTTACTTTTTGAGCCCTGGTCCCCTATCAATTGAAATAAAAGTTATGAAGCACACTATGGTGCCAACGTATAGGCCCAAGGTACAAAGAGAGATATCAGTAGAAATCAGGAGATTTTCAATTATACCTATTCCAAACTTTTCTCCCTCTGTGTTTGCAACAGACTGATGAGATGTGTAACACTGGCCAGTATCACTGTGATAACCCACAGAGTCGATCCAGTTGCCAGGATGTGCATCTGATGCGATGTCTGGTCCAGCAATCCCAAGAGTGATTTTACTGTTTGGAGCTGGCAAGAGGGAAAAATGCCATATATACAGATAAAGTACAGACAAACTAATGTACATTCTATGTGCCAATTACTGCTGTAAAACTTTAAAAAAAATATATCACTCTATACATACCAATAAGCAAACAAGTGATATGTATTAAGTCTCAACTCATACTAATTTCTGACATATGGTTGAATATGTGAGGCATCGTGGTGAAATCAGGCATTCGTCAAAATAATGAAATTGAAGGCATTGGCATTTTTTCTCCAGTTTGACCATTTTTCCTAATTTTCTTTTTTGGTTCAACACCTTTTACGTCCATTTAGAAACATATTTCTGTGTGGATTTTACTGAAAACACTGAGGCACAACAAATGTAAATTTTCAGTTCCCGAGGACTCTCAAGCTTTGGAAATCACCTAACTTTGGCAGCCATTTTCTCCCTGATTTTACTCTGAAGCCAGGCGACCCCGACCTCCTTAAATCGCAAATGCCCCGGCTTCTATTCAAGATAGGCATGTATTTTTTTCATCCAAAGATGGTTAAATGAACACGCTTTAATAGGTGATAGTCTAGATGCCCAAAAATTGACGAGCGCCTGATTCCACCGTGTTGTGACACACATATGATTTATACCAGTTGTTGTGGAAAAAACTAAGTAACTCCATCGTATTACTCACAAATAGAACAATTGAAAAAAATTAATTTGAAGTAAAACAACAGTTTATTTTACTTCTGCTGATTATTCTTTTAAAAAAAGAGAACTTGAATTTTTATTGTTGACATAAGTCAAATTCATATTTTCATTGGGATTATCCATTTTAATTTCAGTCTCTAATAATAAAAATGTTTTGAGCCTATCAAGCTCTGACAGAATCTTTTCAAAATGGTAAGCAACTATCTCAAGGTACTGGACTTTCAGCAAGTAGGAATATTATTAATTCATTATGTTTATATATTATAGGCTAATATATAGTACTGTATGTTATAATACTGTTGACTAAGCCTGAGGAAGCCTACATGTCGAAATGTCGACCCAACTCAATAAAACAAAATTAATATTTTTTTGGTCTATGAATCAAACAAGGCTCCCCCCCACCTCCTCTTCTTTTTTAAACAATGACTAAGCCCGTGTAAATGTTCAAGAGCCATTATAATTCCAGGCAAAAAAGTAAATATATGAATATAGGCCCTGGCCCTCTTATTTGTACTTACCAAGAGTTCTGATTTGTGCAAAAAAATATGGCTTCTCTGGGGTTAAAGGGTTCAGGTATTGGAGAAAATTACATGTCTCTGAGTGTGGTTTTAATTTCACATTACAAATCTGTCCTGGCGTTATATCCACATCATCAAATATAATGTCTCCTGCACACCGAAACTTGCGCATTCTATCAGTACCTTGCTATCACTCAACATCCAAATAATGGAATGTTTTGGGTTTGTATTTTGATTTGATTAACAAGGCTGATCTACACCTTGTAGCCAGCCACTACAATTGACACAGTTACAAAAACACAAAACTATAATAGATCATTCAAAATAAATAAAATCAACTATATTATTGGGAAATATTGATAGGATTAGGTAACAACACACACAGTCGGGAACAGATTTCATTTAACTGAAGATGACATTCCAAAACAAAAAGCAATCCGAGGGTAATGAGAAATGTTGGATTCGCCAGACCAGAAATAACCGCACGCCACGCATTGGACAGAAGAATACAAATGCCGGATTAGCAGTAGCCTTATTTTGTCCTGTTGCCAAAGCTGTCGTGACCATAAGTGCTGGAGCTCGTCCAACTGATTTCGTTGACTCTGTAAGTCGAAGCCCGACTCGTATCTTGAGTGTCTCGCCCAATGAACACAACCACTTTACATTAGACTCAGTCTAATACCACACGGAACACACACATCACACACAGTCAGTAGGTCACATAAACGAAGAAAATAACCGATGTTTTTGGCCAAATGTCAGATGGTTTTGTCAAGGTACTGAATATTTGTTTTGCTCATGATAAAGATGTCATGTATTAGTGTAAGGGGCCCATTGTTTGGTACTTAATTATAATCTTAGAGAGAAATTATTTCATGCATTCATTTCCATAAGTAGCTAACCACGCCATTGGTTGCTAACAACAGCTTGTGTCCTAAACAAAGCGGAAACAGACGGGACACTACTCTTTTAATAGCATTTTGTCCATACCGTTTATTTCCCTTTAGAACCCTTTCGTTCGGCCAGAGAGGATAATATAATAATGTACATCCTCCCAAAAAGAAAATCTTTCCTTATTTTGCCTATTTAAATGTTAAATGCATTATACCCTCTCCAAATTGTGAATGTTTATAGTGAATTCATTATCAGTCAGCCATGGACCCCCACCCCCACCCCCCTCGACCCCCCAACACACAAAACAAACTCGGGCTGAAAAGAATGTCCTTGTAGATTAAAAAATGACAGCCGTCCTCATTCCAAAGATTAAAATGAAATGAAAATAAAACAATATAAATTAATAGTGGCAATGCATGATTAAAATAAAATGAAAATAATAAGCTAGGCCTTCAATTCTGTGCTGTCTTTGTTTTAAATTCAAAAGTTTATAAGATTATTTTGTTTAGGTTTTAATAAAACTGGGAAGAGAAAAGATAACCCAACAGGTTGACAAATTATGAGGTTTTTTTAAACTTAAAAAAGTACAAAACTAATACTTGGACATTTATCAATGAATGACATATTATATATATATTATAACTATTCGTCCACTCTGACATATTCAGCAAATGCAAAAGTCAGGTGGTGGTGCTGCTGTTCTGCCCACTCACGCGCCCTTTAATTCTTACAGATACATGTTTAGTTTTGTATAGGCACACCTTTTGTTTTAGATCTCTACTTTTGTACACTTCTGATTATTCATCTTCTGCTTTCTATTCTCTTAAAATGCATCTTTATTCATACTTTGTGTTGGTTGATAAGACTACCTTATCTTTTATCCACACTCTCATCAATCCTTTCTTCTGTCCGGGTGCCGGATACTGCTTTTTTTTCAGCTTTTTCGCATTTTAGTTTAGTGGTCATAAGAGAACAATAGGGTATGTTTAATGATAGGCATCGGGGCAATTTCAATTGTCTCAAATTGACTTGTATATGATTATCAAAGTTAATTAGTTTATACCACTGAGTTATCTACTTTTTAGACTCGCCGTGTACATCTCTATGGTCTATTGATACAAACTCTCTGGGTTTTATATTAGGCCCAAAGAGGTTATAATAGTACTAAAGCAGAGGTCTCAGATGTGACGTCACCCAAGTAAACTATTATCTGGTTCATTTAAAGGTAAACAATCACAAAAATCCCTAGAGTACATTTTAGCGATAGGCAAAACACATGAAAAAAAATCAACATCAAAGGACACCGACTGGCGTTTTATTCCTCTCCGGAATGGCGGCGCGCCCCACAATATTGACACTCGTGACGTCACAGCTAAGACCTCTAGTTCTATCTATAACCTCTTTGTATTAGGCCTATTTGGAATAATTTTCATCTGCTGGGACTGCAAGCTGTTAGATCTAAATGTTGGACGTCTTAGCTCAGTTTCCGGTTAACAAAAAGGCATCATTATTACACAAACATTGAAACAATATCCTGTTGGTAGAGTCTATATCTAGATTAGATCTTGTCTTGTGTTTCGTTTTCTTGTTTTGTTATCTTAGTTCGTTCGAGAAACATTATATTTACAATACACTGTTATCAATTCTGTTGTTCATTTACACACACTCGATTATTTTCACCATCCGTGGCCATAACATATAAAAGTAAAATTGAAAGAAAGCAACATTTGATCAGACAGGTAGGTGTAATAGTATGTAAATCTAGATCTACTTTCAGATCTCTATGAGTCTCTATGAGAATCAATGCCTCAGTAGACTCTATTTTGTTGACTTTGACTTTGAATTGTCACTCTTCAAGTCTTTTGTTTTTTTGCCTTTGCCTTTGGATTCGGAATGAACGATCATTTATAGATGTAGTAATTTATACATTTTATTTTACGAAGTGTACCCAGACCCGGTAACCGGGAACAAAGTCTCGAAGTATACAGACCCGGTAGGGGAACTCTTTTGTGATTTCGGAAAGTTTCAGCGTCCAGACCCGGTAGTGTGGGTGTGTGTGTGTGTGTGTGAGAGAGAGAGAGAGAGCAGGGGAAAGTGCTAGCAAAATTTATGACATATGCCCCAGTTGGCAGGAGGGAACGAGAGAAAGATAGTTTAGATACAGTGGGAAATAGGTGGGGAGAAAGAAAGACAGACAAAGAAAAAGAGAATGCAAGCGATACTCAGAGGAGAGAGAGAGAGAGGGTGACTGCTCGATTGAAATTATGACATTCTTCTTTTCTTCAAATTGTGATTCCTCCAACTCCAAAATGGAGGAAAAACAATCGTTCACTGAAAAGACATCCCCGCTATCTTCATAAAAATCTATCTAGATAGATCTAGTCAGTTCTAGGCTTGCCTCGAAACTAGATCAATGATTTATGTCTGTCTGTCTAGATCTAGACCTTGGCCATAGATCTAGAAGAACCTAGGTCTACCCTGAGTCAAGAGGGCGCTGAAACTTTCCGAAATCACAAAAGAGTTCCCCTACCGGGTGTGTATACTTTGTGACTTTGTTCCCGGTTACCGGGTCTGTATACACTCCCTTTATTTCAACTGATGATTGTAGATCGATCTAGATTTCTTGATTTAGGTTCTATTTCTTAATGACTTTCGGGTGATTTTGTAGTTCCGTTTGTTAAAGTCCACGATCCATTTGTTTACATCCAGAGAAGAAACCCGGAAGTTTTTATGACCAAATAGGCAACACAAAGAACAGGGATGCAACCTAACCGCAATACATCAAATTATGGTAAAATTCAGGGGGGCATGAACCGCCCCCCCCCCCCATCTCCACGTTTTTATTAGGTCGGGGGCAAGGCTCCCTGAAACCCCCCTACTCTTGACTTGTGGGGCCCAAACTGGCGAATAATAATTGGGGGATGGGAACTGCCGAAACAGCGCCATTCTTTGCTTGAATTTTGATTTTCTGGCTGGCTTTAGTGTTTCCTTCCAGTCACATGCTTAGTTCACTCCTCTTCGATTACCTGGCAATTCAGGGTCTCTGGCGTTCAGCTTTGGACTTATTAACGAACGAAACTACAAAATCACTGACTTTTGGCCTACATTCTAATTACGGAGTGTCAATGTACACGGTAACCGGGCACCTAGCCTCAGTGTCTTTGTACACAGTAACCAGCAACCGGGCATGTAGTCTCAGTGTCACGTACACTGTAACCGGGCATGTAGCCTCAATATCTACGTACACGGTAACCGGCAACCGGGCACGTAGTCTCAGTGTCACGTACACGGTAACCGGGCTGTTCAGAACTCCAAGTTCAGTTTTTGTCACCCGATGTTGCCTTCATCCCCACCCCTCCCCCAACTGTACCTTTAAAAAAAAATAATCCCCCCATTCCGGAGCCCTGTACTTTGCAGCGCACAGACTTTGAATGAACTTTGGTGACCCCAACCGGTACTCACAATGTGATGCACACACTCAGGTTCATTGACGGGTCACGATGGCGAGCCGGACAAGACGCTTTTGTATGACTCTTTTTTTTTCAGCAAATAACAGCTCAGGACAAATATTGATTTATTTTCATTCCGGTTACCATGTACGTAGATACTGAGATTAGGTGAGACTAGGTGCCTGGTTACCGTGTACATAGATATTGAGACTAGGTGACTGGTTACCGTGTACGTAGACCCTCCGTCGTAATTAATCCAGGGCTCAGCCGTAGGTTGGGGTAGGTTGGGGCATCTTCGACAGGTTTGTGTGGTGCGGCAAAAGTAACCGGTACGGTACTGCTCCCGCTTTTATGAAAGAACACAGACCATCTTTTTCTAGTCTTGTAAAACAGCCATTCTCTGCTTCTCAATGATTATTTTTTTACTCTATTACTATTTGCATTCCGAATTTGCAACCAATCGCGATTTTGTGGCGTACTCATACCCTTGCTTGGGGCAACTTCGTCAGGGGTTGGTGCGAATTCGACCCACCACATGGGGCAAAAAATCTGATTTAAATTTTAAAAATTGATTTTTGAAATTTTTATTTAAAAAAAAAACATCACCAACCGTGATTGTGCGCCCCCCACCCCCCCTCCATTTCAAAACTTTGCTGAATTCTCTGTCAATATCTCTCTGTCTCCCCCTGTCCTTCTCTTTCCCCGACGCCTCCTCTCCCTCACTCTCTGAGCTCGCGCACACCCAAATACAGGCACTCACATTCACATACATACATATGCATGCATGCATGCATACATGCAGGCAGGCAGGCAGGCAGGCTGGCTGGCATGCATGCACACACACGCGCGCACACACACACACACACACACACACACACACACACACACACAGGCACACAGGCACACATGCACACACACACTTATAGCTTCTAACTTGGGACAGTTGGGTAGTCTAGTCTAAGTGTAAATTTCTGCTAGTTTGTATCTAACCGGTCAAGGATTTCGACCCATGATGAAAATGATAATTATAATACCATTAATAAAAACTGAAATGTGGTTGTTAAAGGCGATTCTGCTTACGAAGCTGGTATTTTGGCTTGGCCTAAAACAAGTCTGAGTCAGGTCGAAACTGGCCCACACCCTGTTGAAGTTGCCCTGTTTCGCCCTGTCGAAAAAGCACCAGCCACCAAAATCTCATCCCATCATTTTAAATAAATCATCTGAATTCATGTAATCAATATTTCTAATTCTAGATGAATTGAAATGAACCTAAGGATATCAAAGTTTCGTTTTACAATACTGATAAATATTTTCATGCAAGAAAAGAAATGTGTTTAAGAAAGTAAATGACGGGGTAAGTACCGATTTTTTTCTTAAAGAGCAAAAAGTACATGGCGATGCAGCGCCAACATCAAATGAGCGCTTTCACTGGCATTCGTGAGATTTCACACCGACACCACCTTGACAATCTGCATCACTCAATTAGTTTATTAGAGTGTGAGCTAGTCCAAGTTGATGAGTTATAAAAATTAGAATTTTTTTTTCTTACCACATTTGGTGGTTACAAAAACTCTAAAGCTGGTGAAAGATTCATTCAAACTACTTGCATCGACAACACCACTCCCTCTTCGGTGGCAAGCCACTGGCACAATCAACTCCCCTTTCTCGTGAACGGCTTCAGTAAGCTCCTGGAGTAGGAAGGAAGGGTCAGGTGGTAATGATTTGAAGCACAAAAGAGGGATCGGTTTCAGCTCTGCTTTTAGTCCCCAAATTAACGTAACGCTTGGCTGAGTGAGTGAATGTAGTACTCTTAGATGCATCATATTATAGTACAGTGTAATAGTTTGGAATCTCCTTTGGTCGCTGAGATTGGCCTTTGTATCGTTGATTCTGAGAATCACGTTATTAATTTTGAGGGGTACAGAGTTAAGACAACACAAACATTTTTTAAACTGACAGTCAAAGTAATCATACATTATTAGTATTCAGTAGTTTCAATACATTAAAAAAAATACCCCAATAGTCAGAAATAGTTGAGGAAAGACCCCCGCCCTCCAAAAAACCCCCCCAAACAAACAAAAACAAAAAAACCCCAAGAAAAACCGACTCCAGAGTCTACTGTAATTTAAATGTAGTAATGAGCCCATTTGAACTTTTTATGTCATGATAATACAGCAAGCCTGTCTGCAAGCAGCAACTGACAGGACATTTACCTTTGTAATGGTAGACATAAATCACAAGCCCGTCCATGTACAGCAACACTGGAAATTCACATGGGTAACCAGTAGTAGACTCAGACCACGAACCAGCAGGCAAGCTCATGAGTGTGAAGTGCTTGCGACTTACAAACCCTTGAATATTCAATCTTCAGCTCTCTAATATTTATTAAATGATTCTAGTCTTTCCTGACAATACTATTTGGTAGTTGTATTGGGAAGGCTCTCTAATTGTTTCATTTGTTGATGAGGGTGTAAAGGAGAACTTGAGGATTCAGCTTCTTAAACCTTTTTTTATTTGGTGTGTCATAATTCGGTCTTCATATATATATATAATATTGGTTATGATTTTAAGATTTCTTTTGACTTACAGTTCTTAAGGTTATACGGTTCCTCAGGTCTACATTGTACTCCAATATTTAGACTGATGGAAAGATTAGTTAAAGAACTTCCTTATGAGTTGGGCAAATCTATGTACCGGTATACCAAAGGCAACAACAAACAAGACATTCACAAAAGCAGACACACTAATGTCAGTTGCTATAGTGCAGAAACCTGTTGTTTTTTAAAATCAAGGGTAAAATGTTTTGCTTGACGCAAGCCAGTGACTACATCATATTGCCTCAAAAGTCTCTTTACTGTGCTTAACATTTTCATTAAACAATATTCCCTTTTTCAGTACCACTCGACCGGCAATTGATAGTTTGTCAAATATTCTCAAATGACAGCAACAAATGTTTTCTGGTCTTTTATTCCTCTAGATAACATTGTTATGACCTCCAGCACTGCAGACAATGATGCAGCTTTAAAAGCTGAGTTGGAAGAAGTGAAGAAAGAAGTCCCAACGATAGAAGATGTGAAACTGATAGCTGCAGTCCCAGCTCTAGTCAGGGCAGAGATCAAGTAAGTGGCTCTGTTTAGACTCGTCCTGTTATTGCTTATTTTCATGTAATTTTTTTGCTTAAATGATGGATCAAAAAGCTTTAAGAGGCCCATCTATTTATAGTGACACCAGAAAGTGAGACTTGATTTAAAAGTAGTAAAAATAGTAATATTTTTTTCCTGTTGAAGGCTCTTTCCTTGTCTTCATTAGTTCCTTGAATGTGTTTTTTGTGCTCTGTCTCTGTGTTCTTCATCTTTCTGTCTTTCTCAATTGATATTTTCAATAAATTAAGAATATCAAAAGAAATGAAGCCTGCTGCAGAGAACATACATGCTCTAGTGGGATTCAAAATTTTATTGAAAAAAGAATTAATGCTTTACAGCTGATGAATCTCGTCATTTTAGAGATTTGTACTTTCTATTAGATGCAATGTTTTCCTAAAGCGTAAATGTTTAACTGGTGTGGTTCAATTTATTTTTTTATCCAAATATCTTATTAATTTGAAAAACATGAAAGTGCGAATGACAATTTTTTTTCTCCATTTTTTAAAAATCTGTTTGATTTCTATTATTTGTTG